TTTCAGTGATGAGAATGGAAACAGACCACCTAGGAATTGGTGAGTGTTTATGATAAGGACTTGTCAACAACAACTTTACCAACTCGTTGGTTATGTAAAAAAATACTTTCTTTTGATCAATCATTCACTTAAAAAAATAAAGAAGTTTGGTGTGTGGGATTTGTTTTATTTGTTTAAAAAAAGACAAGCCAACAATGAATGAAGTTAAGTATCAACTACAACTAAAAGAGACAAGACTATGGTAAGATACACACCTTCAAGGCTTCAATAATGGCCACAAGGCTCTAAGATATACTTTCAACCTCTTTACTCCGGGAAGTCTCTTTAACAAACTCTGTGATCAGTTTGGCCGCAGCAGCTGGTTTTTCGACATGGGGAAGATGTCCACAGTTTGATATTTGTTCAACACGCGCATTCGATAAATCTCCGTGTAGTCTCTGCATTGAAGAAGAAATGATTTAGGCATACAGAGACCATTGAAGATGTTAGAAGTGACAGAAAAAAAGCTAACCCAAGCAAGCTTGTTGCTAATGATTTGGTCATCTTCTCCCCAAATTATCAGTGTCTTCTGTGAAACCTGCATACAGAAACAAAATCATACATTAAACAAGAATGCATAAATTCTCATCTTATTCCGAAATTTAAATGAATCGGAAATGACTAAAAGATCGTACCTTTTTTATAAGAGAAGTTACATTGTATCCTCCGCTTGTCATAAAACTAACCGTTGCATCTTCCCACCAAGGATATAGACAATGCAAGCGACCAATCTATAGATTGAGCTTGAAAAGGAAAAATCAGATCGGGAGCTAATTTATCGGTAAGAACTTCTAAGAAGATCTTGTTTACCTTTGTCCAGTCCCAGCTAGTTTCCAATGAGATACCATTGAAAGAAAGGAAGTTTGCGTATAACCGCAATGGAACACTCTTCAGTATATATACCTAATCCCAAAATTCATAATTCCCCACAAACCGCATAGTTAAAAAGAATTATTGCAAAGTTTCCAATACACTTTTATGTACATTTGATGAGAACTTACTCCAGCATACGCTGCTGCTTTGGGTAAAGTTGCCAAGTTTCCTGTACCTTCTGTGTAAACGCTTGCGTCCATTAAAACCAAGGACTCAACCTAAATATTCATATATCTTCTCATAGTCAATAACTTCTGAACATGTTTATACTAATAAACTTCTTTTTGGGCACTAAGGAAAGCTTCGTAATGTTTCTAATGAGTACCGCTTCTGGATGGTTGACCGCAATGTCTATTGCGACAGCAGAACCAAGGCTTGGCCCAACCAAAACCACAGGTCTTTTAATATGAGACTTCCAAAACTATGGATCATACAAGAGAGACCAATCAGTTCTCTTCTACTTAATGAAGCACATAAGTAAAGAAAATGAATACAAACCTTGTAAAAATGCTCTCTTTTAGACGCTACATCACACGGCGGAAGTTTCCCTTCAAAGATATAGAAACAAGAAGAAAACAAGGCCATAAGTAAGAAAACATCAGCGAATAGG